ACACACAGATACATGAAATAACGATAGAACAGAAATTGTAATAAGAAAATTAATTCATTTTATGGAAAAATGGTTTTTCGCGAGCTTGAGTGACACTAACTACAGCTCATTTATATTCAACGTGTTAATGTGATTATTTTATACTTAACTAAAACCTTCAACAATATGTTTTGACGTAGCAAGTTTCAAAAGCTTTTCGAAGTAACGTAGACCTCACAAAAATTTCAAGTTCTAAGGTACTTAAAGATAAATATCTCCCGATATTTAATAGTAAATATCTAAACCATTTGATGTAGTAAAACGGTTTTTCCTGCTTCTCCTCCGGTGGCTACCACAAAATACAGTAAGCCAGAATCATAATAAACATACTCGTATATTATATCGCACTGCTATTACAATAGTGTTGTAACTTAAAATGTGTGAATTTCAAGATTATACAATTGCTGAACGTAAAATTTGACTCTCTACACGTCAATAAAACGTCGTACTTAACTCAAGAAAAGACAAACTTTATATGAGCTAGTTCTGGTCAAAGCAGTCCTTATTAAAAAATATCAAATTATTTTTTCCTGTTTATTTTTCAATATATTAGGCAAGTAGGAAATTGTGTGTCTGTAATAAATAAGAAGTGAGCAATCCGTTTTTCCTCGATTCTGAAAAATACACTCTTTGAGTTAGTACACTACTGTATTAACAGTGCGATGTCATCTCTGAACTTAAAATTTGATTCGCTATATGTGAATAAAACCGTCGTTAGGATATTGTCAAAAAGAATTGAAAGATATCTATTTAACTCAAAATGAGACAAACTTTCCCCAAAACAATCCCTACTCAAAAACATGAAATTATATTTTCCCTTTTATTTAAATTACATTATATTTATGATGTCGAAAATAGATTAGATGTATAGTAAACTTTAACCTATACATAAATTTTATATTTTGAAGTGAGTAATTCGTTTTTCATCGATTCTGAAAAATTACACTTTTTGAGTTAATACACTATTATATTAACAGTGCGACTTGTACGGATAACGGCACATCAGACACACATACATTTTTGTTCGAAAATCGTCTCCAGTGCAACGGAGCAAGATACGTCAATTTGTAGCTTGATGTACTGGCGTGTGTACATATGTATCCCCAGCAACATTATGCGTAGTCTTGATCTTAAAGATTGTCAACAAGACACAAGTGACGGAACGAACAAGTCATGCGCCTGGTGATAAGTGACACGCCTGTCCATAACAGTTGCAGTGCCACTCAGAGCTTTATATCACAAAGAGTTTAGGGGCAATGCCACGGCGCCTGTCACCCTGAGACATAAGTTGACAAGTCCCATGTGCCTGTAATTTCACCAGCGCGCTTACTCTTCCAAACCGGAACGCAGTAATGTTCACATTACTGCTTGGCGGCAGAAATAGGTAAGGTGGCAGTATTTCCCTGGACGAAATTTTTCACGAGGACCTCTACTGCTACTAAATATAACAGATAGCTTGGTCTGAGCTTGAAGAGTTAGATTTAACTGGGGCCCCCGTGCATGTGAACACCCAACTGAAATGAATAGCTCGATTGTTGACTCCATTACCAAATCTTATATAACAATCATCATTTCCAATGACGTCACAAAGCCTCCTCCCACAACACATCCTCCCATACCCCGGTAAGGTCACTGTATTAGCATTGGCGTCATTGTGGTGACGTCATGCGTCGTGTTTTGCTCTTATAAGAAAATAATAAGACGACGCGTGATGAATGTCGAATCCCGTGAATTGACATTTAATAAGATGCAAATATTAAGAGGGATGGGTGGGAGTGAAATTTAAATTTTTGTTCACTACGCGTCGCTTAATAATTATGCTACCTTTATTTATACTTGGTAATTACGTATAATATGATTACGTAACTCAAACTCATGGCACCACAATTTCGTTTCACTAAGGCATAGGTTGCCAAACTTTTCGAGTCACCGCCCACTTGGCAAGATAAAAAAATTTAAATTTTTTACATTAACTTAACACAAAATCACAAGAAAAAATGTGTACGTAGTGTAGTTTATATAGCTAATTCAGGTTTTATTTTCAAATGCGGTAGCATCAATCAATCCTAGTCAGCATCAATTGTTTCCGAAGCCCTTACCGCCCTAGGACTCTTCAGCGCCCACTTCGAACCAGCAAACCAATTTTGATGATTATTTTTTGTTGGAAACAGGGTAACTCACTAGTGGTCCCATTAAAATTTTAACAAAATATTCCACCTCTAACTAAACAAACTTGGGTGTTTGCCTCCCTTTCCCCTCATCCCTTGATGAATCCGGTGCCGCACACTTTCCGGTAATAGATTTCATTAAAACTTGACAAATAGACGTATTCCACGAACTTTTAAGGTTGGTTTTTTACTACTCTGTACCGAGATTACTATTATAAATTTTAATTTTAAATTTATGTCAAATATTTTTTTCACCATTTCCGCAAAATAGGGTACGAAATTTAGAATTGAACGATGGTTATTACTTTTTATTAGTCTAAATTATAAATTACGTCCTTTCGAAATAAAAAGAATCATGGCAAGAAAAAATGTCGATAACGATAACCATTAATCTTTCTTAAAATTGCTCGTTTTTATGATTTATACGAATATTAAAACCGTCAGCTGGTATCTGTTCAACTGCAAAGCCTAATAAACTAAAATCTTAATAGGCAAGAAATTGTTAAAAATAAAGACAAATAATTAGTATTGGATATTATATTTTAAGAATCTAAAGTTAGCCAGACGCGTCGGTTTGGTTGAAAATTCAAATATACGTGATCTATTTATTAATTGCTGCCACCTTTGGGACGGCTCTGCCCAATACCAGTTAGCTGCCTTGGACTCGGTGGAGCGTAAAGCAAAGAGACTTATTAACAATAATCCTCTTGTGGAGTCGAAGCTCCAAAATCTCGATCATCGCAGAAAAGTAGCCTGCTTGTCGGTTTTCTATCGGATACATTTCGGGGAGTGTGCGCAGGAACTTTTCAATTTGGTTCCGCCCTCACCGTTCCTCCTTCGGTCGACTAGAAGGTCCGGAGCACTCCATTCTTATGTCGTTGATATTCCACCTATTCGCACTAAGCGCTTTGCCTCCTCCTTTCTGATGCGTACGGCAAAGGAATGGAATGCTCTACGAAAAGTACAATTTGGGGCTATTCAAGGCTAGAGTGAATAGGCATTTTTTAGGCAAACGCGTCCCATCGTCGGTCACATCGTCGCTTAACATCAGGTGAGATTGTGGCCAAGCGTGTGTCTATTATATATATAAAAAAAAAAAAAAATTAAAAATATATACAAAAATAATACTTATTAAGACTGGGCTTCCAAAATTTCATACTTTTTGAATGCATATCTGCACTAGTGTCTATGATTGATCAATGCCAAATTTGGCCATAGGTTTCATTAAACCTTTTTCTAGTAATTGAATAAGACACTTACATAATACGTTCACTTTCGCTCGATCCTTTTTGTTTTGAAAATCATACGTGTTTTGAGGTTATCATAATATATTATTTTAGTTAGTAATATAAAATAAACATGGCGGTGCGCGCAACAAAAACCTGAGTGACTTTATCCCTGCACCGCAATTATTTTATTTATTTATACTTTCATTTTCAGTGGTTTCGGATACCCAAAAACTTGAAAGGTATATTTCTACTTATAATAAAACATTTTTTAATGCGCTACCTTAGTGACGTAGGTAATAGCTAGTTATACATCAAAAACATTAAACAAAATACAAGACAATAATTCGGAGAATTTGTTAGTTTTTTTTGTGATACCAAGTGGCAAGATGAACTAGTCGTGCGCCTGCTGGTAAAAGGCCTATTACTCTGCCCTAACTCTAACTAGGGGGGTGTAGCAAAAGATATGGAGCTATTAATAATATAATAATTAGGGAAGTAAGAGCGGCAGCGCCCAATTTATAATAATAATAACCCTATATCACGAGTGCCATGGACACACACATAAACAACCACAAATTATACCCAAACTCACGAGAGAACTATATTTCTCCCGGTCCGGCACTGACAAAATTTCAAGCATTAACACTATTTAAAAGGAAACGTGAGTAGATGACCTCAGACCAAGTCATCTGTTATATTTAGTCGCAGTAGAGCTCCTTGTGGGTTACCTATCAGTAGTCAGAAATGACGTTTTCCAGAAATAACGTTTGGTCGAAATTTCATAACCTCGAAAGTAATTTTGTGAGGAAAATGTTTTTTCTTTTAAACCTAACTTGACCTAAGCTTTTTTTTTATTACCATGAGGAAAATTCGTTACGCATTCCCCGCCGCTGGGAGACGGCGGGGATATGTGGGACTCTCTCCTGGGGATTATGTCGGTCCCCAAGAGTATACCCACTAAAAACCTCACAATGCTCCTGCGCGCACCTGGCGCCGGAGCCGCGGGGTCCCTTTCAGATGCTACTGCGACTCCGGTGGTGCCGGTCCGCCTTTGGGCGGACCCCTACACCATCCCCCCTTGATCACGGAGGGCGACCTGCACGGAGGTGCCTCGGAACATTTGGGGCATCTACCGGCGGCGGAGGCCTGTGCAATGCAGGGGCAGGGTCTCCCAACCCTGCACCCTGCTGGCCTCCGCTGATGGGACGCAGGCGGTCGGCGAAGAGCCGTCACGTGCGTCCTCTCCGTCGACGCCGAAAGGGGTCCGAGAGGGCGCTGTCTTCGCGGATCCGTTCGGCCGTATTGCGACATCACGTCCTCGCTGAGGGAGACCATCGCATGTCATGACCTCTCGCTTCCCAGCATGGCTCTAACTATGCTGCAGTGAGAGGACGCGTCCCACCACCTCTACGAGATCCCGGCGCTGCTGGCTCCAGGTCGGGCACACCTCCAAGGTGTGCCTCGCCGAGTCTGTAGCAGCGCCGCACTCGTGACACTCCGGGTTCACCTCCCTCCGTGCGATCTTGTGCAGGTAGTCACCGAAACAGCCGTGTCCGGTGAGTACCTGAACATGACGGTAGGTGAGGGACCCATGTCTCCTCTTTCTCCAATCGGCCAGTACAGGGAGCAGCGCCTGGACGGTGCGCTCCCCGTATCTGGCCGATCGGAGTGCCTCCTCCCACCCCGCCTGGACGGCGGTCTTGGCGGCACGCCGAACCCCCACTAGCTCGTCTAGTGTGGGGCGCTCTCCACGTGCCTTGGCTTCCGCACGGCACCTGTAGGTCTGCTCGAGGATGGACGCCTCGAGCTCCCAGGGTGCGTATCCAGCCAGGGCGCATGCCGCCGCTCCGGAAACCGTCCGGTACGCCCGAATCGCCCTCACCGCCATTAGCTTCTGCGGTCTGCGCAGAAGCGGCCGCAGTCTGGTGGTGAGGGCCTCCGCCCAGATGGGCGCCCCGTAGAGGGCCAAGCTCCGTAGGACGCCAGCATAAAGCCGACGACATAGGGAGCTGGGTTTGGCATAAGGCGCCCAAACTTAACGTAACCTAACCGAACCCAATAGTGTCTTTGCGATAAACATTCAACATATCCTAAATGAACAACTGTTTCGTTATAAATCAGTTTTCGGTGTAATGAAAATTCGAACAAACGTTATTTCGGACAAAAAAACATTTTGACTTTGTGATAGGTTACCCTCCTTGTGTAAGAATTAGTCCTGGGATGACTGCCACCTTGCCTGTTACTCTGAGACATAAGTTGACAAGTCCCATGTGCCTGTAAATTCACCAGAGCTTCAAACCATAACGCAGTAATGCTCACATTGTTGTTTGACGACAGAAATTGGTATAGAGGCTAATCACGTACTTGCCTGGACGAATTCTTTCACAAGGAACTCTACTGCTACTAGCTGCTATTAGGTTTAGCGCAGTTCGTGACCCCTGTGTGTAACAGACGCTATTTCAAGTTCAGTGAGATCGAAGCATTTTTCTTTGTTTCTTTTTATCTTTATTTTTGTCTTTATTTTTTTCCTTGTATCAATAATAATAAAATTTCAGAGGGAGGTATTATAATGTTTACCTTTTATCTTGTTTTCGTCGTTAAGTGGGCACTCAAGTTATTAATAAAGACAGTTGAGAACCAATGTAAGATCTCAAACATCGATTTACTTGAGATAAATTTATGAACACAAGTATTATTAGTCGTTGAATTACGTCATCTTCTTACGTTCGGGGTGAAATTCAATTCCTTTAATATATTGTGAAATTTTATATGTTTTTTATTTGATATGTCAATATGAACACCAGGCATATTTTCGCTTTCGGTAACTGAATCTCAGAGGACCGAAACTAAATACGTACTGAGAAAATGTCACAGTGGAGATATCTCGAACAAGCACGATATGTCGAATGTAATCAATTTTGTGGTCTGCTCAGAATATTACAAACACAAAGTACATTTGTCAAAATTATTAATACAAAGATCGAACACTTAGGAAAATCCGGCCGGATTCGAGCCGATGTTTCAAGCAATCCGTGCCAGACGCTATGCCAACTAAGCCACGGAACGAACCAGCGGACCTCACGAATTCCTCCAAGTGCTTATTGTCGGATAAAGATCCGATCCGTATTTGGTTTTCAATAACTTTTTGGCTGTAGCGCCATCTATGAGAAATCTATGAAAGTATTTCGTCATCCAGTTAGGTAACTTTGCAGCTACCAGCCCTGACGAGGGATGTCGCTATTATCTGTTATTAAATTTTTATTGAATGTATATTCAATTATTTTTATGAAAAAAATTCTAAGTGTAATTATAACTAACTAGTGGAGTAATTTCACAAAAATTAATTGAATATCCATTCAATACAATTACCTACATTTGTCAAAGTTTACTGGCATACAAAATATTTGAGTAAATTTACTGTGATGTCACAGTCATGACACCAGTCTCCTTAAACTTTTCCCTGAGAGAAACCCGAGAACCTTAACGGTACACAGAACAAATCACTCGTTTTCGCAACATAAATATGGTTTGTATATCTGCCGCTTTACCCCACATGAGAATCCCGCAGGATATTATACTATGGAAGTAACTAAAGTAAACTAGTCTAGCAGTACCAACATCGGTAAGCTCACGTATTCTACGGACTGCGCAACAGAGCTTAATCTGTTGGCTAAGGAAAATATATGTGGAAACCATTGAAGTTCACTATCCAAGGTTACTCTAGGTCTAACTTTTCTCCATTTATTTCTAGGATAGGACTAGTCGATTTTAAATTTGGTAATTCAAATTTAACACACTTTGTCTTGGTATTGAGCAATAAATTATTAGCATTAAACTACCTTTAAAAGGGTGTCGTTAACATTATCATAGTTATCATGACTGGATGTTTTAAAAATCAAGGATGTGTCGTCAGCCAACAATATTATTTCGCAAAGGTTGTTAACAATATATAATATACGAAATTATATATCGAACACGTCTTGAATACATTCGACATAATTAGAATGTTTGTTAATAGTTTTTTTTAAAGTCAACGACGGGACGGGCAGTGCCACACAGAGTTTTAAATCGCAAATATCTTAGGATCATTGCTACTTCGTCCGTCACTCTGAAACATAAGGTGACAGTACATCCTCGAACGACGTTCACAAAGAACTCTACTGCTACTAAATAGTGAAATTTTTGCTATTCAGTCAGCAATATTATAAAGAATTGGTGAGAATTTCGTCACGAACGAGAATCGGTACATTGAATTAGAATGCTTCGTGGAGGCTTACGTCTAACACCGAACAGAGGCTGAAAATAGATCTCTGAGAGCTCGTACATTTAAACTTCCAAATTATAACATTGTATATGGTAGGAGAATATTGTCATTTGTACTTCCTGTTAAACAGGGTACCAAAGAAGTTAGTACACATATTAGAATCAACAAATAATCTGTACCAGATTAATTAGACGACACTTGGCTGAGGAGTTATATTATATAAAAGCTGTCTAAGTAAATGTGCTAGATTCTGAAAAAAGTAATAATGTTAAGATGTAGCTGTGGTTGTAATTTACTGCATAAACTAGCTTTTGTAATTTTTCGAAATAAACAGTTTGAATTTTAATTTAAAATTTTAATTTTAGGCCATTCAAGGACCATAAAAAATAATTTAAAAAACAAAAAAGAAATAGTGACAATAAAAAATTGCCTCGATAAAACATTACATAAAGGACACTGTCTTATGTGAAACGACTTTAACATGTTCGTAAATTACAAACGTGATATAGTCCTTAGTTTTGTACTCCATCTAGCAATTATTATTTAATATGTGTTATAAAAATCCAGGTTTATGGTTACGTCTATTTAATCGTAATTCCACATGATTCTTATATATACAATAATATACAAATTTATTATTTTTCTCCCACTAGTCCAGTCATGTACAGTTATAACCGTAAAATTAAATATGTCAGCCTGTAGCATCCCGCCGGGATAAAGCTATTATACCCGCATTCAGCTGTCAATTTCGAGTGTTAAACCGGCATTTTAAAATCTTATCAAATTTGCTAACATGGCGAGCACTGTGACGTCATATTTATATCCTAAATACATGTTATCAACATTTTTTTATATCACCTGAACTAAATAGAACACGTATACGTGGGGCGCACTATAAGTTTCCGGAATGAATAAGAAGAAAATTCTGTAAATGGGCAGAAATGAATTTATTGTTTCTCAAAATATTCTCCGTTAGCGTTAATGTACTTTTTCATACGAATGAACCAATTTTGAAAACATTTATGCCACTCCTCCGTGACAATCTCTGAAATATATTTTTCATACTCTTCGACAGCCCCTTTAGGTGATGAAAATCGTTGACCGCGTAACCGGTTCTTAATTTATGGAAATAAATAAAAGTCACAAGGTACCAGGTCGGGACTGTACGCGGGATGGCTCATAAGGTCAACGTTGTTCACCTTCAAAAATTCATTTGTCTGTCTGGCCGTGTGAAAACTGGCATTATCGTAGTGAAAGATGATACGGCGTTTACGGAGTTTTGAATAACTTCCGGCCAACAAATGGTCGTGTACCAATCAGTATTCACGGTATCACGATTCTCCAAACCAACAGTAGCCACGTGTCCTGTTTTATTAAAAAAGAGGCACTTTGTACGCGCGCCACTTTGGTTGGTTTGGGCTCATTTCGAAAGACTCATACGCTCGATTGCTACTTTGTTTTGGGATCGTTACTATAAATGCATGTTTCGTCTCCTGTTACTATGTCCCACACCAAATTTGATGCACCTTCGTTGAATCTGGTAAGCATGGCATTGCACCAAGAGACGATCGAGCATTTTCACACCCATATGTTTGTGTAGTATTGATTGTATTTGACTCATGCTTATGCCTGAAGATGCCCGAATCTCATGGTATGTCACATGCCTGTGTGTTTTGATCATACGGCGCACAGCATCGATGTTTTTGTTGTTCACAGCAGTGGACGTGCGACCATTACGAAATTTGTCACTGAGATTTTCACAACCGCGTTTGAATTCTGCAAACTAGCTATAAATAGTCGTCTTGCATGGTGTTTCATCGCCAAAAGCAGTTTGAAGCCGAGCGAAGCTCCTAGAAAGTCATACTACGAAAATTTTCACGAGTTAAATCCACGGTGATGTACACAACCAATTTCTAAAATGACGCCACAATGTAAAAACAAGTGATAGTCAGATGAAACAAACTGTATTCTAGAGTCAAAGAGTTCCAAAATTCCAAAATTGTTTATGTAAGTGTCCAGTTCCGAAAACTTACAGTGCGCCCTATCTGAAATAAAGCCAGTGTCCCGAACGCTCGACCCGCGCAGTAGAACCGATTATCTACGGAAAAAATTAAATTCGAGATGAGGATTTATCTGGTATTAAAATTACTGTATCTGCCATAAAAAGTTATCACATACTAAGAATATATACATACCTTTTAACGGTTGTAATTAATTATAACACAACTTATTATGTGTTATGTAACAGATACAGTAAGTATACTATAGAAATATATTAACTATATGGAACTTATATGAGTAATGGAACTTATGTGAGTGGATACTGCACATGTTGAAACTTTTTCTAATCCATCAGTGGAAAACCAACAGTGTTATGTAATAACAATCAATCTTAAAGCAAACCCCATAAAAATTACGCACTATTCTAACATCGAGCGCTCAATAAATTCCAATGACCGGTCCTGTGCGAGAGAGACAGTTGCGCGTGCGCACGCGGCAGAAAGGGGCAGGGAATGACCTACATCAATGAGTGGACATTTGCAGAAGAATGCTGCAGTCGGAATGCCGCTCTAGGAATTGAAATGAATGCGTTGTATAGAGTTTGTACTCGCGTTAATGTGTTG